ATAGAGAGGTGAATAGTAGTTCTCCAAATTTGGAGAACTACTATTCACCTCTCTATAATTGAAGAATAGAGAGTGAAATAGAGAGTGGTTGGAGAACCCATTCTCTATTTTACTCTCCAAATATAGAGAATGGAGAGTAAAATAGAGATGGGTTGGAGATGGTCTTAGGCTACCAAGCATTTTTGTCGTGTCACACATTGAAATAACCCAAATAGGAGAGGAACGTAAAAAAAAATGTTACAATTAATACATAACACAGGTTCACTACAATTTTGAGCTCGGCGATGGCATATCCCTAAATAGATTTGACTAAATGGACATGCAATTTTGATTTTTTAAATTATAATTTTTCCTCGTAAACATGAAAAATCTAACAGTTGTGAAAAGCATCAAATTTCTCCAATTCTTATGTAATTTTACCAAATGAGCAAACCATCATTCATATACAAGATATCGAAACATCCTAAAGCGTCGCATTGATGAATCACACATATCTTCATGTTCCTTTTATAAATAAACTAGTTTCTGGGCACGCGAGTTGCACGTTTGTCCCATGTAATTTTCTATAGATTTATTTGAATTATGAAAACATGTATGTAATGAGCAATAAAATGCAACAATTATAAATATTTTTTAAAAGTGTGGCACGAAACACCAGTGAAGGACGTATATTAATGTTAAAAATTAATTCCTTTTAATCAACCAACTTTAAATTTTGAACTTTAGTTAGTAGTTAGCAAACTCTGCAAAAGTCACAAATGGCTAATTTGATCCCAAATAAAAATACAAATGTACGACAATCAGAAATTCATAAAAAGTTAAATTTATTAAAATCTAATAGAGAGAAAACATACCAAAAAAAACATACACAATACATATCCTTCTTAAGTCTTTAATCGTAATAATATAAATGGAAAAAGAAATACATAAATCATAATCAGTACAATCAGAAAGCATATGAGTGAATGTTGCAAGAATGATGAAATAGAGCTGCAACCAAATTCATTTTTACAAAATGGTCTCTTCTTTTTCCTCCTAATTAATGTTCATCATCAAAATAAATGTTATATATATTGTAAAAAAAAACGGAAAAAAACAGGCTTTTCAACTTTAGATTAATTGAGCTTAATTGATAATTGCTCAATAGATGAAGTTTAATAAGAATATATTAATATCAGGTAAATAATGAAAGATACTTAACTATATTATTATAGTAAATATATTATTATTATTATTTACCATAGATGTTTCTGTTCACTGCACATTAACAAAACAAAAACAAGCCTTAATTTCTAGCTCTGAAAAATAAGTTTTAAGGGTAAAATGGTAATTTGATTTTATACTTTAGAGCTTTCCACTTATATATAATCCAACTTTAAGGTTAAGAGCTTCCCACTTTTAATATATATATAATGGTGATATGATATGATGTGGTATATTACAAGTCCATATAAGAGATATAGGACTATCTTGAGTCAAAATTCAAAGATATTTTATATATTTGCTCTAGTCTTTGTATATTCTTATACTTGCAAAATAGCGTATATCTTTATTGCATATTTGAATAGTGGATACTATTATATTTATCTGCTCAACTAAATGGGTAACTTTCCCCTCAATTAACAAAGTTTTGATAGAGAAATATTCAAAAAGCACAACTCCATGATTTCCAATGTTTTCCCACAACAAAATTCTCCAGCGTGCTCAATTTCCCACCTTGTAATCCTCTTACACATTTTTTATTTTTTTATTTTCTATTTGGCATATGAAGTATTTTGCAAAGAAATATTTACTACCATGGAACATCAATCAATTAAGACAAACACAAGATAGATCTTGTAAACCAAATTATATTTTTGGATTAATCAAACTTAGGTTTCAATTTTTTTTCTAGAGAGTAGGAGTTACTTAAATGACATAAACCTATATTACTTTTGTTTGTATGAAAGGCAGGTACAGCATATGAACATTGTGCAGAAAGGCCTCTGCTGTCAAATCTCATACAAGTCTTTTCCAGTCTACGATTTAGATAAGAAGTCCAAGCCGTTGTTTCAACCATCAATCCGAAACACAGGAGCCAGTAAAAGTCAGTTTTCGCACACATTTTGATCTTTGAGAATGGAGAATCAGCTCATTACAAGATCTATAAATATGAACAGATGCTACTAAGGACATTTTTAGAGCCAATGGGGCACTCTTTGCTATAAGATTCAACAAAAAGCAGTCTTTTGTAACTTTTTTTGTTGAAGTCCTTCAATCGCGAGAGTTTTAATGAAAGTGAAAGTAACGAGAATGTCTATTAAGAAACTTATATAGACCTCTCTAACAAAATGTTCCAATCTGTCCCCTGAAAATTAAAAAGGAAAAAGGAATACTGTTGAATACTACAGTCAACAAAAACTGGAGAAGCTTCTACTATCTATACAAGTCTCATGACATTATTTCGGTCCAAAAAGACATCGGTCTACATCAGATCTCATGACATTCCGCTGAACAGAGAATCCTTCAATCTAACGGACAGATCGCCCTCAAACTGGTTGATCCATTCAAGTCCTAGGTTTTCGCATCAATATTATGGATCGAAGCTCTGGCAAAACAAAAATGAAGAAGAATTATATGGAGAAAAGCATCAAATCACCTAAAACTAATGTAGGCTCTTCCCAAACAGCTTAATTACAGGAAAAAAGGTTATTTATTTTATCAAAAGAGATAACAGAAAAGAAACTAGAAAAATAGTTTCACTTGGGCAAATGAGCAAATATGCATACTCAAAAACCAAACTTGTTAAACAGTAAAATTGTGTCATGAAAAAAAAGTTATTTTGTTATTTCAGTATAATGGGGCGCTCGACATAACTTATTATTCCTTTTACTTCATAACTTAAGGGAAATTATGATACAAACACCAAATCGACTGAAACTAATGTAGTCTCTTCCTAACAGCTTACATTCTAACACTTACACAATTTCATAGATAGTTGATTGATGCTTCCAGAGTTATCTCTGTGTTAGAACAAGTCAAATACCACAACGACGTTCTAGCATGGCCTTGAAACTAGTAACCTATAAGGAAAAAAAACAAAAAATCTCATGATTAAATCATATCAAGATATACCATACTTGAAGAATTAGAAGAAGAACAATTCAGTTCAAGTGGACAAGCAGAATGCTGAAAGCAT